TATTCCTTTTTCTAACATCAAAATCATATCATAATTATAGAGCAAATCTTATCTTACACCTGTCATCTTCAGCATTGCATCCCGAGCAAGACCTGGAGATGTATAGTACCAACAGGATGTAGTTTATAGGTTTTCATGCATACATGTCTAAAATTCTCAAAGATGTAACCTAGTATCAAAACATCTGATTTTACATATAGATCTGAATATTTTCCCATATTTCTAATCTTAAATGCTTCCCATACGTTTTCTGCATGTTCGTAATTTTTATCTGTTATATCAAATTCATTTAATTTACTATAGAACTCTTGTTTTGGAGAAAGTTTATTCATTTCACATTCCCCCCTTCGGATCCATATAGTGATAAGGATATACACGTTTTCTTATTACTAAATCTAATAGGTGTTTAGGAGAAAACTTGGCTGTTTTTCTTAACTGTTTTTTTTTCAAGTGACTGAAGAGTTTATTTAAATTACTTGACATAAATCTAAATGAATCTAACAACCTATGTTTCATATTTCCAATTTTCTTACTAAATGATATATATCTCTCCCCATTGTTTAGTATCAAATCAATTTATTCTAAACGAAAACACCAAAATCTATTCAAATCTTCTGGATAAGTGCATAATATACTTGGATAATTTCAAAGAAAGTTCTGCATTCATTCATTATAAATTAACTAAATACACTATTTTGATATTGATATTCTCTTATGTGATTATGCTTACAGTTATCACAATAATGTTTGGATCTATTGTAAATGAAGAGAATGTTTATAAAATTATATTCCATTTCATTGTAACTCAGTGGGAAATACTGTACGGAGTCGGGTTGTTAACTATACACCATCTTAACGTTTTAAATATAGGCATCACACTACATGAAAACATGTCCTCGTTGCGCGAAAAAATGGAAGATGCCATTGACGATAGAAAGCCATTAGATTTTCAATTTGTAATTCAGAAACATGCTCAGTATTGTGACATTCTGCTAGATATGGACAAAATAATTAGTCCAATGATTTCAGCATATTATCTATTTCAGTAAACAATCACTTTATCAATTTTCTATATTGGTATATACGGTGAAGGATTGAAGATTGTAAAACATGCATTCATATATGGCGGAATCGTTACAAACGTTGTCTTTGCTTTTTCAACTCTTCTGGCAACAGAGATACCAAAATCCGCAAGTTTCTATACTGTTTAACATACTTCTATAATTTTAATGTGTTATTTTGTTTGTGAATCTTAATGATTACTGTGCTGTTTCTTCTTTATCCACGTGTATAATAGAACCAAACAATTATAACCGAAGTAAATACGACACTTCCGCGTATTTCATTAAACATTTTTAAAATTAATCAATGAAACGTGTCAATTAATAACCAATTGGATTTCCTCTTTTTAAACTAACATTATAAACTTTATTTTGTTTAGCATTAACTAATTTTAGAAATGATTTTTCCTTTATTTCATCCCAGGCACTCATAATCGCTATATCTAGTTCATTACATGAAAATATTGATAATGATTTGCATACGCTTTTCTTACTAATATGTTCCACAGGATTTCTATAGGATTCTAGTCTGGGCTTTGATGTATGATTTGAAATAATAGATATGATTATAACAGTAATCAAATAAATATTTCATTGTTTTTTTATGAAATTAAAAAATGATTATGTGACAGACCTTATTTGAGTCGTCAGTACATCTCAAGACTGTAGTTGCCATTTGTACACGGTTACATATTTGTACATCATACTATAATTGGGTTTCTATGTTATTGAATATCTGTGAAACGTGATTCAGTATGAAAAATGAATCTTGAGACAAACATTGATAAAAATCTTTAGCTCGTATTTATTACATTTTCACGAAATTTTCTTTAAAATATTTATTATTGTAAGAATCAACGAATAAATTATTTTTATTTTTAGATGCATCGATTTCGTTTTCAACTCGAACTTCTTTTCTTCCACCAGAAGAATGTCAACGACAAATTAATGGTAATTATCCATTACTCTAACTTGTGAAACTATGAAAACTTTTAAAAGTCGTAATATCTTATTATATACTCTGTTTATGATATAATGATTGGAAAAGTGTTTTTGTATATCAATTACAGATAATCTCCTATAGGAAAAGACTAGGAAAATATCCTCCGGGAATCACTGTAGGCGGAATTTTTACAGTTTCTCGTAAAATCATACCCAAGGTAAATCATCGTGTATTCACTATTATGAAATAAAATTGTTTGTGCAAATTATCACTACGACTTTAAATCTAGTAGTAAAATAAAATTATAAACTTTTTCTTCATCATTCTTTCAGATTATGCAGTCGATGCAATTTTATTTTTCCAGTTTAATAAGCATTAAAACGGGGAAGGATGCTTGCGACGGAATATTGAAGCAATTATCAATATGAGACTGACGACATTACTGGTGTAGATGCAGAAATATACTGCGAAATGCATTCGTTCGATCTTCTTAGTTCTAAACAATTATCAGAAAAATTATAATTTAATTCTGTTTCAACTGGTATAATTAAGTTCGCATAGATAATGATCAGTCGTGAGATTTACTGTTGTTAGACTGAGAGGTAGGTCTTTCTGATAAAAACTTTTAACTAAAAAACTGTGGAAAGTTTTGATGCTGCTAGATTCGTTGGAAACGAGGAGTTTAGTGTAACAGATGACATTCTGGTTTCGTAAGATCTTCCTGCACTTCAAAAAGAGTATTGCACTCGTAAATCAAATTTGGAAACGAACTTTTCATATTTTGTTTCTGTATCATTCCAATCTTCAGTTAGAAGAAATGCTGCAATAATATCTTCTGTCTGAAACAAAATACACGAATTAATTTATTCAAAACATTAATTTTAAAGAAATCTTCAAATACTTTTATGTGTTTTATCCATTGTTCGTTGGTACCCCATTCGCGCATCACCGAAGTCATTTGACATTTAAAACTATAAGTACCCTCACAGCTTTAAACGTAAAGCAATAACGGCAAACCATCTTCTGAAATCAATTATAAGATAAAAGGCGTAAAAATATATAATTTTATGAAATTTTTATCTTACTTCTTTGTTTATTTTACAAACAGAAATGATAAGTTACGTTAGTCATTATATTTCTCGTTCATATTCAATTTCTCTCGAAATAAAATACTGACAAGAGTATGTGAGTTATGGTCCTATTCCTGTCGGAGTGTTTAAAATCTTTACTCAAATAAATATACTTGAGTAAAGATTCAAGATAAAAAGTAAACATGAAAAGACTTGCAATTTCGAATATAATTTAAGAAAAAGAATCAAAAAAGGTTAAATTGTTTTCAGTCTTCTATGACAATTGAACGAGAAAAAAATAAATTAATATAGATAATAACGTGTAATTCTTTTTCTACAGAACGGCACCAAAATTTTGTCTATTAGGTGAAAATATTCTTGAATTTCTTCACTAAAAGGCATTACTTGTGTGACTCATATAAGTATAAAAAATCTAATTTCTTTATCACTAACATTTTCTTCTTTCAAATTACCTTTTTGAATGAACTGTTATGTCAAGCGTTCATTTAAAACAGTTTATCTAGACTGAGCATGCACAAAATAAAAATTTAAAGATTATTATACAGGCTCGAAAAACTGTTCAATTAGATATAGTAATACATCGATTTTCGTCGATAATCCGTCCGAAAACAATCGGCGAAATCCGAAACCGACATAACCGAGGCAATTATTTAAATATAAATCAATGTAAATCTAATTAATTTGTTCGAGACACTCCAAAATACAATATCAAAAACCAATTTCATAGAAAATGAGTATAGTGTTTATAGTAACAACAATAAAAAATAATTATAAAAGACTAATATGATGGCCTGCGAGACAAAATCGCTATCTAACTGTTGTTGATTCATTCAAATTAATAATTGCTGTTCGACATGTTCAATTGTATGCGTGGTATTAGTGTATCACCACATTTTTTAAAATTCTAGCAAAATCGATACCATCTATCAGTTGAAACATATAATACTGTACATTGTAAACGAGAATACTTGGGTTTAAACAGTAGGCTTATTCGAGTTTACTCATGGATACCTTGAAAGTTCAATATCCATTGTTCTTGAATGTGCTTTGTAATTCTTTATACTCGTTGTAAAAATGAAGTAGAAAACTTTTCATTTAACATTCAGAAGTGTTTATGTATATTCTGGAATGTACATTTTCGCTTTGCAAGAAAACATACATTGACATAAAAGTACGAACAAAACTTTCAAATATTATGCAGTTTCTATCAAATAGTTTTCGTTATAAATGAAATTAGATGTATATTTTCCACGACGATTTCACATATATCGCGAAGTGTAACTAAGCATCTTCACTAAATATTTAATTTTTCCTTTTGTTATTAAATTTTGAAATATTAATAATCTGATATATTATTAATTTAATATAATTTGGAAATTAGTTGTCCAGAATTAATTAATCAGACGGATGGAAGCTTCTTTCGTGTTCTTTCAGAAAAACTTCGTCTAAAAATTGTTCACAACAGAACGGACATTCCAAATAAGTATCGTCAACGTTTATTTCTGGGAAGAATTCCAGTGGCGACAATGATTCCAATTGAATAATTTCTAAATCGACGTTAAGGTTTTCAAGAAATTCTTCACAGTCTTAACGTAATTAACTTATGGTTTTTTATCGAAGGTGATAACTATTATAAAACAACAAAATTTTCCAGCGCCAAAAGAACAATAATGATATTTACAGTCGCTTATTGATATTATTATTTTAATATTTGTTTGTGTAAATGAACACAGTTGCATCGAGTATTGTTTAAAATATTAATTTAAAATTTTATATTATCCTGTAGAATTATATTCTGTCTGTTTATTTTATAACTTTTATCGCTTTGATAAAAAAAAAGGAAAATGGAAATATAGGAACTTGTGATAATATTTACTTTAGATAAAATTTCATCAGAATGCGTACGTGTGTTGTTCCAAATGGGATTTCTGTGTAAAACTTTCTTTACAGACATTGTAATTGCACTTGAACGGCTTTTCATCCGAGTGCACTTTCATGTGCCTTGTTAAATGACCCTTCTGGGTAAAGCTTTTTTCGCACAAATTGCATTGAAACGGTCTTTCATTCGCTTTCACAAAGAAATGTCTTTCCACATGTCGGGCATGTGGAAAGAAATTTTCTGTCCTTTTAAAAAGAATGCGTTGAATAAATATAAATAATTAGTAAAAAACTTAAATAAAAATTATTCTCGATAATATAAATTATTGTTACATATTATAATATTATGTTAATATTGTATTATTATGTTGTAATATTGTAAGATTATGTTAATATGTACTCTATCATCGATATAAAATTGAAATTGTCAGTTTGTGTTATTTCGTGAATTTCTAATAAAACAGTTTGTATAATACATTTTGAATTTCTCAAATTAAATAAAAGATTACACTTACCATTATGATTTTACTTATTTTGATTCAGTTATCAAATTCAGTCTATTAATTTCAAGACGAAATTATGTTAAAACAGAATACAACAATGCACCGAAATAATGTAATTTCTTGATTGTTATGTTTAGATTATATTAAGTATGTTTAATTGCGTATGTCCTCGAACCTAAAAATAATTGAAAACACAAAACGATACATACATCTTCTGTATTGGAGAAACGCATATGAGGAAACAAATAGAGTAACGCTATTTCTGTTTCTTGCTTAACTTATTTTTAAATTATTATTATTTTAATCAATCTGCACAATAAGCAGTAACAGGAAAAGCACGGTTTGGTAATTGTCAGTCGGAGTGTGCGAGTTTACACGAATAGAAATGCGTACAATTTTTGGGTATTTGGACTGCCAAAATAAGGAGTATATTCAAAATTATATTTTTATTTCTATTGTTATAAATTCTTATTTTTATTTATTTATTTATGATAGTGAGGCCATAAGCGTATTACGTGTAGTTTATTCGGATGAGAAGTCATACAATTACAACTATAATGGCTGTGAATATAGTTATGAACAGAAAGATCAGTTGAAACAATACACGTTTGCAAGACATCAGAAGGAACTTTTATCCAATGTAAATGCACGGAAGTTTCTATATTATTATTTTTAGGCCGTGAACACACATGCGTAGAAATCGCCATAAAATCTTGCATAAAACAGAAAGCGTAAAAATTTTTCTAAAATTTTGGCTGAACAATAACTGAAAAAATGTCCCAATAAAAAAAAATGAAAAAAAATTTCCCAATAAAGAGATGCTGTTTTGTAATGACAAAGTAAACACGTGATTTTTATTCTAATAATGACGACAGTGGCGGCTAGCCCTAGACACTCTCCAAAAAACGAAAATAAATGAAATAGAAGATTGAATTAGTGCGCATGTTAAGAGGAACAAATTATATGGTTTACATTTTTTATGTACATAGATATGTCTGTGTAATTAAAAGTATTTCGGAGATTAATTTCATAGAAAAGTTGTCAATTCGCATCAAAAAATAACTCTTGTGCAAACTATACACTGCAAATAAAAATGGTTTTAAAGCACCTTTATACACGCTTTCTGTAACGACTTAAGCGCACTTTAACTGTTATTAAAACTGTTTAAGAACACTTTTTACTGTCAAAATACAATATTAATTTTACAAGTACACAAAAATTGCTCTTAAACAAAATTTTTGAAATAAATCGTTTAAATTTTGTATATAAGAATTTATAATTGTAATGTAAAATAATAGGTATTTATAGTGTACATCAGTTTAAATTACGTTTGCAAATTTGGAAAACTAGAAAATTATGTTGTGAATGTTCCATTTATCACTTTTGAATGTTAATATGTAAATTAAACTTATTATTACGTTTTTAATGTACAAAATTCTAAAAATAATAAAACTTAAATTTCAGGGTTCGTCGTACACATTGTTAAGAGTAAATATAAAATAGTATACAATACGTTTATTTATCTCTTACGAAACTGTAATAAAAGTGATTCGTACGTAGAAATAAATAATATACAACTTAAATACAATAAAATTGTAAATCTAATCTGATTTATAGGAAATACGATGCCATATTTTTAAAGTCTACAATTCTAAAATATAGAGTAAACTGCATTGCAACATGTTCTGTTACAAAAATTATGTTTGGAATTACATTCTGGAAAATGACGATTTAAAAATTTTAATTTGTTTCACAAAAATATATACAGATTGTATATGAAACTTATAAACAAAATATAAAATGATACAAAAAATTTATCCCTGTTTTGTAAATTCTTGAAAATATTTTAAAGCTTTTTGATTGAGCTTATATCAATAATAATCACGTTTCAGAAATTATTACCATAGTTTTTCTATATTGTATTCGATAATCTACATTCAATAGATAATACAACCTAATAAACAATGATATAATTTATTACAAGTTAAAATTGATTTGTTTTAGTAAAATATTTGTGAAACTGCAACAGATAACTCTTCTCGAATGTAAGTATTTTAAATTAAAATCACTGCATATGACGCCTAATTAAAAAAATTTTGTATTTTTGTGTTAAAATCTACTTTTACCTATTAATACTTTTACATTATGTGTAAAATTTAAATTAACAAATTAATTGAAGTCTGCGCTTTGCTGCGAGATTAGTATTTATATAACGTATTATCTTCACATCATAAAAAAGTACATCCGCGGAATAACTGTCCAAATGGTGCCTGTACTGCACCGTTACACAACACATGTTAAATCCAGGAAATACATGTATATTTATATACATAATACATACGGGTACAAATGTTTTATATATTCGAGACACTGTTCTTTTTTGGAGAGTGAAAAACAATAATATATTTTCGAAATATCAATAAAGACAAATATTGACAATAAAGATGATGAACAATGTAAAGCAGACGACAAAGTCGATAATCCTGAATCGTCGGAAATAGTATTTCGATGTCATTTATGTTTTTTCAGCACTCTCTCGAATGAGAAATTTCTAAAACATAAGCAATATCATATTGAAGACATTCCTACACGTCAACGGTTCTTATTCCATTTTTTCTTTAAAAATAAATTGTATTTTTAGAATTCACGTTTTAATTAAATAGAATTGTTGGTATGGGTTTCTCTTTAAATTTAACGTAGTTTGTAATTAAGTCTTAAATGACAGATGAAGTTCATTTAACGTAACTGGTGTAATTGGTGACTTGTTGATACACTTCGAATCATGTGTTATATTTAGCTGGGATAGTAGCATAATCGCAAGTGTTTTTTAATAAACATTAATCACACCCTTTATTGCAAAAAATTCATGTAGTTTACCGACTTATAACAAAATAATTTCTGCTACTCAAACAATATTGTAGATGACAGAAACATTATTAAATAACTGTAAATCAAATAATCAGCGTTTAATGTTATTTCCCGTTTGTTATATATACTTGTCAGTCCATGTAGATAAATGTAGATAAATATGATAAATCTTAATTAAGGATCTTACTCGATAAAGAAAATCTTGAGGTATTATCAGAAAGTGACTGATTTTATTGAAAAGAAACATCCAGAAAAGGTTCACACTGGCTGCATTACTGATCAGAGTAATGACGTTTGCCTATGTCATTTTAGAAATATTTTAAAAAGTTAGAAATAATTGAAACGCTTAGTAAACAATCAAAAAATTTGAATACCTACAAACAACTTAAAGACTTTATCAAAAGCTTGAATTATGTTTAATTTTGTATGTTAATTGTTTTTTGTGTATGTCTGTTATGGTCTGTTTGTATTTTCATTTTAAACTGGAAAAAAGCTAATGGCTTACATGATAAATAAAGTAAAGTAAATAATTAACTTGAAATAGTTTAGATATAAAAGAGACAGAAAGGTGCAATTTTTTAAATTGAATCGAAATTTATTCAATTAAAGCTTATCGACTTTACAAATGTAAAACATTAATTAAGTGTAACGTCGATGTTTGGTCTTTTGGTTTTCTGAAGCAATAAATTGAAAAAATAACTTAATAAGTTTTGTTTTTTTCAAATATTATAAATTTTCTATCATATAATTTTCGCTATAAATTAAATTAAAATGTATACTGTCTACGACGATTTCACATATATCGCGAACTGTAACTGAATACTGTATTCAATTTTGCTTTCGTTATTAAATATCAAGACGTAAATAATCTAAAATATTATTAATTTAATATATTTGAAAAATTAGTTGTCCAGAATTAATTAATCAAACGGATGGAAGTTTCTTTCGTGTTCTTTTAGGGAAACTTCGTCCAAAAATCGTTTACGACAGAAAGGACATTCCAGATATGTTTCTTCAACGTGTATTTAATATATTTGAAAAATTAGTTGTCCAGAATTAATTAATCAAACGGATGGAAGTTTCTTTCGTGTTCTTTTAGGGAAACTTCGTCCAAAAATCGTTGACGACAGAAAGGACATTCCAAATATGTTTCTTCAACGTGTATTTCTGGAAAGAATTTCAGTGGCGACGATAATTCCAACTGAATAGTTTCTAAATTGACGTCAACGTTTTCAAGAAATTGTTCACTTTCTTTTGAAGTGAAAAGATTATCTTGTGATGAAATTTCTTCAAATTCTATTGACTGTGGTATTTGAAAACGTGTTGATGGTTGTTCAAGCGATATTTTTTGCTCTCGTTGAACGTCTTGTGTACATTCCTGAAAGTAAATAACACAAATAGCATTACAGTACAACATTTACTAAAATGTAAATTGAAAAAAATATGTAATAGATAATTATATACTGTATTATATATTTGTAATGCTATAGAATAAAGCGTTAATGGCTGATATTTGACAAAGAATCCAGAATCGTTGTATATTTCTAATACAGGAGTTTTCCTGTTAATTAAAAAAACTTTTCTTGGAGTATCTAATAAAACAAATACACATGTGTACAATATATGCGATAAATGAACATTGATACAATGCGTGCTCGTTAAATAAGTGAAGTTATTATCATAATTTTTTTCATTTTAATAGTCGATTGTGTGTTGAATATTTAGTCATTAATTAACCTATTTATACACTTACTTCGGTGCAATATGGAGTTTTCTCTTTTAGATGGATGCTTCTGATGTGTCTGTTTAGACTACTTTTGGTATTGAAAGTGGCATTGCAAAAATTACAGGAAAATGGCCGCTCTCCGGTGTGAGTTCTCATGTGAGTGTTTAAAGCAGCGGGAGACTGACAAACTTTTTTGCAGATTTTACAAATACGACTCATTATCTTCGGATCGTTCGGTGGAATCTAATTATTTTAAAAATNTCATAAGCAAAATGTTAGGCATCTTCCGCCGAATCACTACACACAACTTTATTTTCCCCAAACATACTTATGTAGCTAAAATTAGTTTTAACTAATGTTAAAAGTTAAAACTAGTTTTCTCTAAAGTCAAAACATGTACAGCAGTAAATTAACTAGACAAAACCGATTTTGTCTAGTTAAAACTAGAATTTACTGTAGTCAAAAATGAATTTGAGTTAAAACTAGTTTTAACTAGACAAAACCGATTTTGTCTAGTTAAAACTAGAATTTACTGTAGTCAAAAATGAATTTGAGTTAAAACTAATTTTAACTAGACAAAACTGGTTTTAACAAAGACATTCAGTATAAACTAGTTTCAACTAGTTAAAACGCGTTCTAACTAAAAACGGGTTTTGGCTGTAACACATACATAATGCATTTCAAATGCATGCGTGCATTTTAAAATGTATCATAAATGATATGATAGGATCATAAAATATGATTTTATGCAATTTTAAAATGCATAAAATTTACTTGTTTACCATACGAAATAAGTAAATGCAGTGCCCTTGGTGAAATCCAAGTAGTATATTTATGCCCTTTCTGCCCCACAAAAACCGAATCTTGCAAAATTCAGTGAATTTAATCGAAAATCAAAGCTAGTAAAAGTGTAAATATTAAAAAAAGTCAAGAGTAATTATAAAAAATAGTGAATGCCATTTATTACAAAAAATCATGATTAATTAACAAACTGAACTACATGTGCTTTATGCGCTTTCTTACAATCTTTCATACCTCTTTATACAAATTTTAAATCACTCGTGTTGTTTAAATCCATTGTTCTTTTATTGAATCGATTAGGTAGAAAAACTTCAAATTCATTCTATTCAATTTCAATTCAAATTCATTCTATTCATTCTACTAATTTTTTTTTCTTCATAGCCAGNTGTAGAATTATATTCTGTCTGTTTATTTTATAACTTTTATCGCTTTGATAAAAAAAAAGGAAAATGGAAATATAGGAACTTGTGATAATATTTACTTTAGATAAAATTTCATCAGAATGCGTACGTGTGTTGTTCCAAATGGGATTTCTGTGTAAAACTTTCTTTACAGACATTGTAATTGCACTTGAACGGCTTTTCATCCGAGTGCACTTTCATGTGCCTTGTTAAATGACCCTTCTGGGTAAAGCTTTTTTCGCACAAATTGCATTGAAACGGTCTTTCATTCGCTTTCACAAAGAAATGTCTTTCCACATGTCGGGCATGTGGAAAGAAATTTTCTGTCCTTTTAAAAAGAATGCGTTGAATAAATATAAATAATTAGTAAAAAACTTAAATAAAAATTATTCTCGATAATATAAATTATTGTTACATATTATAATATTATGTTAATATTGTATTATTATGTTGTAATATTGTAAGATTATGTTAATATGTACTCTATCATCGATATAAAATTGAAATTGTCAGTTTGTGTTATTTCGTGAATTTCTAATAAAACAGTTTGTATAATACATTTTGAATTTCTCAAATTAAATAAAAGATTACACTTACCATTATGATTTTACTTATTTTGATTCAGTTATCAAATTCAGTCTATTAATTTCAAGACGAAATTATGTTAAAACAGAATACAACAATGCACCGAAATAATGTAATTTCTTGATTGTTATGTTTAGATTATATTAAGTATGTTTAATTGCGTATGTCCTCGAACCTAAAAATAATTGAAAACACAAAACGATACATACATCTTCTGTATTGGAGAAACGCATATGAGGAAACAAATAGAGTAACGCTATTTCTGTTTCTTGCTTAACTTATTTTTAAATTATTATTATTTTAATCAATCTGCACAATAAGCAGTAACAGGAAAAGCACGGTTTGGTAATTGTCAGTCGGAGTGTGCGAGTTTACACGAATAGAAATGCGTACAATTTTTGGGTATTTGGACTGCCAAAATAAGGAGTATATTCAAAATTATATTTTTATTTCTATTGTTATAAATTCTTATTTTTGGTAATACTCAATAGGAGTGTGTGCGTTTACACGAATGGGAATGCCTACAGTTTTTGGGTATTTGGACTGCCGAAATAAGGAGTATATTCAAAATTATATTTTTACTTTTATTGTTGTAAATTATTATTTTTATTCATTTATTTATGACAGTGAGACCATAAACGTGTAGTTTTTACGTGTAGTTTATTNTATCATATATACTTATATTGTGTCTGTTTATTTTATAACTTTTATCGCTTTGATAATTGAAAAATAAAAACGAAAATGAAAATATAGGAACTTGTGGTAATATTTACTTCAGATAAAATTTCATCAGAATGCAATGCGTACGTGTGTTGTTCCAACTCGGATTTACTTTTGAAGCGTTTCTTACAGTCATAGTAATTGCACTTGAACGGCTTTTTATTTGAATGCACTTTCAAATGACGAATCAAATTGCTGTTATCCGAAAAGCTTTTTCCGCACGAATTGCATTTATACGGCTTTTCACTCGTGTGAATTCGCATGTGTGTTTGCAAACTATATTTACGTCGAAATTCCTTTCCGCATATCGGGCATTGCTGCTTTCTGTCCTATTAAAACAATTCGTTGAATAAATATAAATAATTAGTAAAAAACTTAGATTAAAATTATTCACATTATTATAAATTATTGTTATATATTTTAATAATATGATAAAAATATTAATAATATGTACTGTATCTTCGATATAAAATTGAAATTGATAGTTTGTGTTATTTCGTGAATTTTCAATAAAACAGTTTGTAAAATTCATAATGTATTATACAAATTAAATAAAAGATTTCACTTACCATCTTGACTTTACTTATTTTGATGCAATTATCGAATTCAGTTTTCTAATTTTAAGACGATATTTCGTTAAAACCGAAAACAACAATGCACCAAAATAATGTAATTTTTTGATTGTTATGTTTCGACTATATTAAGCGAATGATTATATAATGGCGCATGTCACTGAACCTAAAAATAATTGAAAACACAAAACGATATCTTTTGTATTGAAGAAACGATGTGAGGAAACAAATAGAGTCACGCTATTTCTGTTTATTGTTCAATTTATTTTTGAGTTATTATCATTTTACTCAATCTGCACAATAAACAGTAACAGTAAAAGCACGGTTTGGTAATATGCAATACGAGTATGTGAGTTTACAGGAATGAAAATGCCTGCAATTTTTGGGTATTTGGACTGCCGAAATAAGGAATATATTCAAAATTATATTTTTACTTCTATTGTTATAAATTATTATTTTTATTTATTTCTTTATTTATGACACTGAGGCCATAAACGTACTACAAGTAGTTCATTGAAAGGAGTAGAATTATAATGGCTGTGAATTTAGTTATGAACAGAAAGATCAGTTGAAACAATACACGTTTGCAAGGCATCAGAAAAAACTTTTATCCAACGTAAATGTTACGAGAAGTTTCTATATTTTTATTGTTAGTACGTGAAAACACATGCGTAGAAATCGGCCTAAAATGGAGTATAATACAGAAAACGTAAGAGTTTTTATAAAATTTTGGCTGTACAATAACTTAGAAAAGAGTGGCGCATTGCCCCTACTTATTACCCGCGTAAAATTCCCCAATAAAGAGATTTCTTTTTCGTGAGGTCAAAGTAAACAAGTGGTTTTCATTCTAATACTGGCGACAATGGCGGTTAGCACTACAATTGTGACAGTCTCCAAAAACCGAAAAATAAATGAAATAGAAGAGTCCATTAAATCCGTTCGAGCACATTAGTGTCTTTTTGACAAAAATGTGATAAGTATAAAACAATTGTATTTAAAAAAAGTTTATGGACGGCCATAGGTGCTAAATTTCAAATAACAGGTAGGTATAGTTGAAGCGATATATAGTATTCAGATCACATGTTACTTTCAATTCGGAAAACAAGTCTATTAATTTAATTTTTTTGAATTATAGCAGAGTCAGCAAAGAAAGAATGAAGGATTTAAAGGGATAGATATATAAAAAAAATACAAAAAAATTAGCACTGTTAATGGCAGCAGTTTTTCCTATTCGGCCAGAAGTTTACGTATGTGTAATCTGGCATAAAAGCGTAAAGCAGAAACTGAACCTGAAACTTTCTGATTCACTTGTTTGCCACACATTTTTACACACGTGGGTTCTTGGCTTTATATTTCGATACTTAAGGTGATGAAGTTTAGAAAATTAACATATGAAATATTTCTATTATATCCGATATCATTATATTAAGTAATATAGAAGATGTAGTTAGTTTTAAAAATGATAACCAACGAATCTGTACTAATTTACAGAAACCAAGCGTAAAATAATTAAATTGATGAGTAATTTTAATTAATGTTGTCATTTTATAAGATTCAGTAAACACTTCGCTTTTTTCCGGTTTAGAACATTATTAAAAATTGTGAATTGATTAACATTTCTTTCATTTTTCGAGAGTTTCAAGAAATAAGTTAAAATCCTTTATAAAATCGGAATTACTACTCATAATAAACACATTGGTGTAATTAATACTGTAAATAATACTAAACACTAGTTACAAAGAGTTTAAACTTTTAGAATAAACTTTCTTTCCAATTTTTATTTTTATAGTTAATATTTCTATTTAGAAACAAAACATATATCTTTCACGTGTTTTTACTTTCTAATTAATATTTCCAATATACAAAGTAAATACACCAGAAACAGGTGTTTTATCGCTAATTGTTATAAGGAGATTAAAATTATGGTATACGTTATTGTCATTTTACAATTAATTTTGCTTGGTTTCAAATACACTTTTAATAATTGTTGTACGACTATGTTTAATTGTATATATCAATAATAGTATGTTGAAGAATCTTGTCAGTGGCGTTTCTATAAAATAGTTTATATTAATACTTAAACGAAACCTCTATATAAAATATCAAACGATTCACAAACATTCATATTCATAAACAAAACATTCGTACTTAAACAATTATATTTTATGCTTTATTATATTGTGGACATATAAATCAATCTATAATTAGATTCCGTTGTATGACCCAAAAATAACAAGCGGTAAATGTCTTATTTGCACAAATCTTTTCCCAACTCCAGCTTCTTTAAGAAATTATATAAAAATTCACATTGGGGAACTTCCATTTTCATGTAATATATGCAATGACAAATTCAGGCACAATGGAAAGTTACATCGGGGAGAAAAATCTCTAACTTGTTTTCAGGTAAGTGTACAAGTATTTTTAACGACTGAGCATTCAAAAAATATATTAAAACCTCGATTCACGAATTCATTCTGAGCAGGTAATGCTTTTTTAGAGCAGAAAGTTCGTTATATACGTTTTTTTTATGTTGGTACGTAAGTTAAGAAAGACAAATTAATTAGTTTACATTTCTTACTTATATAGATATGTCTGTGTAGTAAAATTAAGTATTCCAGTAATTAATTTCACAGAAAACTTTCAAATTCACATCAGAAAATAACTTTTGTGCAAACTGTACAGTGCAAATTTTAAAAACGTTTTTAAATCACTATTAAACACTCTCTCTGTAATGATTTAAGCGTACTTTAAGTGTTCTTAAAAGTGTTCTAGAACACGTTTTACATTCAGGATACAATCTTTATTTCACCAGTACACAAAAATGACTCTTCAACAAAATTTGTGTAGTAAATCGTTTAAATTTGTACAAAGTAATGCTTTCATCTCGTATTAAATTTATAAAATATAAATAATAAATTTTTAATTTAGACATTTCTATAATTTAATTTGGAATTGCATTAAATTTACTAAAACGCTTATTACACCTAAAAATCCTACTTTTTTCTAAGCATTTCTGTAAAAACCGCATCGTCTTACTGTAAATAGTTTGTGAGTTATTAAGTTTTTAAGAGTTTTATGACTTTTGAATCACCCTGTATTTGTAAAGCCATGCAATTTCATAAAATGTTATTACTCTGTGAATTTTAATTATTATTAGTTTTTTCTAAAATAAAACTTCAAATTTCGATAATATATTATAATGTTTTCTAATACATTTATATTATTTTCGTGTAAACATCTTAAAGAATTTATTGGTAAATATTATTTGTATGTATGGAAAAAATATATAACTGTGAGGCTGATTTTTGTTTCTGTAATTAAATAATTACTCGCTTTTCAAAATTTTTATTACTCTGATAAACTTACTTCTACTCTAACACCACTTTGAATAAACAAATAAATATTATTATTATTAAACGGCTAAAAAATCCTCCGTCAAGCATCACCAATACGTTATACGAGAAAGCAGAGATTTTAAAAAAGTCAAAAGTTGTTAATTAATTAAGTAAGTAAATTAAGCAGTTAATACTATCTGTAAATATATAAACGGCTTGCTGTATATTATATTACAAATGTAAATTCGTCTCTGTAATCCAAAAACACACTTTGGTAGACGTATCTTACAGCAATTTCTGGTTAGCAACTTATCTTTTATTTTTCATTGGACTACAAATATATTTCGGGTTGGTATAATGTACCCCAACCCCTCCTCAGTGCTAATTCAAATAAAACAAAAAATATTAAAACAGGACAATGTTATATTATATGAAACAAACCAAATCACAGAAAACACTTACATTTTCTCATTATGTAAATTATAAGAATTGTTTCTTTTTTATTTCACAAATTAGGGAGTGGGAGGACAAACCATCCTCATCCTTAATCTATATTTTAACCTAAATTGTGTATTTCATATTAATATACATCTAAAATTCAACAACTATAACTTCCAACAAACAAACTTTTATAATACTCACAATTATTTAAAATTCTTTACACGTAGGTGTATAACAGACGTAGTACAAAATTGTTAGCAAAAACCTAATTTACGTATGTAAAAACTTTTTGATACACAAACAATATCTTCTTTATACCAGTATCAGGATTACAATGAAAAAGTTCTTTTACAAATAATTTTACCATGTTTAAACATAATTATAACATTTTAACTTGTTTTAGCGTCATCTATTAATGTATACCAGCGGCAATCAATTCGCATACCTTCTGAGAGATTTATTAAATTATTTTTTTGTTTCCTTATTTCTAAATGTTTTTTAAATTTTCTTTTATAAACATCTCTTTCAAAATGCAGAATTTTTATATTATTTCGGTTAATTTTACAATTATTGTTATTTGTATGATCATACCACGGGGAGTTATCGTACTTCAATCTAATTGCCGCTTCATGTTCTTTTATTCTAACATCTAACATGCTCCCTGTTTCACATATGTACATATATGGATTTTGACAATCACATTCTAACCTGTATATAATACCAGCTTTTTTTAGGCAATCTATATTATTAATACTACTTTTATTAATGTATTTATATATATTCTGTGAAATTTTATTGGTCAAAGATGGGGCCAAACAAATGTTATAATTTTTAAGGCTATTACTACAATAATCAAAAATATTTTTAATATATGGAAATCTATTATATGTTTTTTCATTTTTAACCTTGGTATTAAATCTGTTTTTTAAGTAACAAGTTTTCCATTTAGTAAGAATAAACTTTGGGTAAGCATTCATTATATATTTTATTTCTAAATCTTTAAGTTTAATATTTTTATTATGATCATCAGTTATTCTTGTATATATATTTTTTAATTCCATAAGATAACAATTCTTTTTTATGTAATCTGGGACACAAAAATGATAATTTATAGTTTTATTAATGTTACAAGCTTTATTATATGTTATAAAATCAAATTTATCAAGGTTATTTAATATAGTTATATCTAGGTAATTAATTCTTTTATTTACTTCTTCTTCAATATCAAACTGAATGTCCTTATTTATATTATTTATAAAGTTATGGATAGTTTCTTTATTAGTTAAATTACTATTATATATGATCAAATAATCATCAACATATCTCATTATTAATTTTATGCCATGTATTTTACTTATTTTTTTATCAATATCAATCATAAGTAATTCAGCTAATTTTGGCCCCATCTTTGACCCCATGCTAATACCAATTTTCTGTCTATAAAATACTTCGTTAACCTCAAAATAATTATTATTGTATGCAAATTATATTAAGTTTATCAAATTATTATGTACATTAAGTTCACTTAAACTTTTTTCTATTAATTTCCAATTTATACTGGGATACATATTTTTTATGTCTAAACTCATTAATTTATCAGAATTATCTTTTTTTCAATTTTTTTTATCCTATTAATGACAGTATCAGCATTTTTAATACTATATACAGAATTTTCATAACATTTTAATTGTTGTTTTATATAATGTTCTAAATTATAAAGAATGGAGTATTTGAAATCAACGATAGGTCTAAAGTTTTCTTTTTCTTTATGAGGTTTTAATCTAATATTTAGAGTAGAGATTCTATTATTTTTGAATTTCCATGTAATTCATTGTGATAATGTTAAAGTTATTTGTAAAACATTTTGTTCAAGTTTTATTAAATTATGTGTATAGAAAATTATTTTATATAAATAGAGCTAACGAGGTGCTGCAGAGTAATTTTCTTAGGTGTTCTAATTGACACTAGCAATTACGCACATTACGAACAATTGTTTTAAAAAATTTTTTCGACTGTAATGTAAATTTAATCTTTAAAATTAACAACATTTTATAATTTTAACGGAGAATTAATAATACAGTGAACAATAAAATAAGCTTTTCTGGTGTTTTTCATTATACAATGCAAATACTAAATTAGAAAATAAAAATACGAAGATGTATCTTGTTTTTATCAGTGGGTAAGAGTAATAATTGTGAAGAATGATTCGCTTAATAATTTAACATTGTTGTAATTAAAATTTTAAATTATTCACATTGGTCATAGGTTATTAATTACACTGATAAATTTATTATGGTAAAGTCTATGCCATTTTATAAATGTTTATGTGTGATTAATTAACAAAGGTAAAATACAGAAAACGGGTTTGCACAAAAATACAAAGAAACGTAATTAATTTACAGTTTTTTTATCGAAGGTGAAAACTAATATAAAACAACTAAATTTTCCAGCGCCAAAATAACAATAATGATATTTACAGATGCTTATTGACATTATTATTTTAATATTTGTTCGTGTAAATAAACACAGTTGCTCCAGTATTGTTTGAAATATTAAATGACGGTTTTATATTATCCTGTACAATTGTATTGTATCTGCTTATTTTATAACTTATATCGTTTCGATAATTGAGAAATAAAAACGAAAATGAAAATATAGGAACTTGTCGTAATATTTACTTTAGATAAAATTTCATCAGAATGCAATGCGTACATGTCTTCTTGAAAGTATTCTTTCCGTGTAAAGCTTTCTTCACAGCCATTGTAATTTCACTTGAACGGCTTTTCATCCGAGTGCACTTTCATGTGCCTTGTTAAATGACCCTTCTGCGTAAAGCTTTTTTCGCACAAATTGCATTCATACGGCCTTTCATTCGTGTGAATTCGCATGTGTACTTGCAAATGACTTTCACGAAGAAATGTCTTCCCACATGTCGGGCATGGATGTTTTCTGTCGTTTTAAAACAATGCGTTGAAAAAATATAAATAATTAGTAAAAAACTTAAATAAAAATTATTCTCGATAATATAAATTATTGTTACATATTATATTATTATGTTAATATTGTATTATTATGTGGTAATATTGTAAGATTACGTTAATATGTACTCTATCATCGATACAAAATTCAAATTGTCAGTTTGTGTTATTCCGTGAATTTCTAATAAAAAAGTTTAAGAAATTCAAAATGTATTATACAAATTATATGAATGTTTACACTTACCATTATGAATTTATTTATTTTGATTCAGTTATCAAATTCAGTTTATTAATTTCAAGACGAAATTGTTAAAAGAGAATACAACAATGCACCGAAATAATGTAATTTCTTGATTGTTATGTTTTGATTATATTAAGCATGTTTAATTGCGCATGTCCTCGAACTTAAAAATAATTGAAAACACAAAACGATACATACATCTTCTGTATTGAAGAAACGAATGTGAGGGAACAAGTAGAGTATCGCTATTTCTGTTTCTTGTTTAACTTATTTTTGAATTATTATTATTTTACTTAATCTGCACAATAAGCAGTAACAAGGTAATACTCAAGGATTTGGTAATACTCAATAGGAGTGTGTGCGTTGACACGAATGGGAATGCCTACAGTTTTTGGGTATTTGGACTGCCGAAATAAGGAGTATATTCAAAATTATATTTTTACTTTTATTGTTGTAAATTATTATTCTTATTTTTATTTATTTATTTATGACAGTGAGGCCATAAGCGTATTACGTGTAGTTTATTCGGATGAGAAGTCATACAATTACAACTATAATGGCTGTGAATATAGTTATGAACAGAAAGATCAGTTGAAACAATACACGTTTGCAAGACATCAGAAGGAACTTTTATCCAATGTAAATGCACGGAAGTTTCTATATTATTATTTTTAGGCCGTGAACACACATGCGTAGAAATCGCCATAAAATCTTGCATAAAACAGAAAGCGTAAAAATTTTTCTAAAATTNCTTTACTTATTTTGATGCAATTATCGAATTCAGTTTTCTAATTTTAAGATGAAATTTCGTTAAAACCGAAAACAACAATGCACCAAAATAATGTAATTTTTTGATTGTTATGTTCTGATTATATTAAGCATGTTTAATTGCGTATGTCCCCGAACATAAAAATAATTGAAAACACAAAACGATACATACATCTTCTATATTGTGAGGAAACAAATAGAGTAACGTTATTTCTGTTTCTTGTTCAATTTATTTTTGAGTTATTATCATTTTACTCAATCTGCACAATAAACAGTAACAATAAAAGCAAGGTTTGGTAATATTCAATACGAGTATGTGAGTTTACAGAAATGGGAATGCCTGCAATTTTTGGGTATTTGGACTGCCGAAATAAGGAATATATTCAAAATTATATTTTTACTTCTATTGTTATAAATTCTTATTTTTATTTATTTATTTATGACAGTGAGGCCATAAGCGTATTACGTGTAGTTTATTCGGATGAGAAGCCATACAATTACAACTATAATGGCTGTGAATATAGTTATGAACAGAAAGATGAATTGAAACAATACACGTTTGCAAGACATCAGAAGGAACTTTTATCCAATGTAAATGCACGGAAGTTTCTATATTATTATTTTTAGGCCGTGAACACACATGCGTAGAAATCGCCATAAAATCTTGCATAAAACAGAAAGCGTAAAAATTTTTCTAAAATTTTGGCTGAACAATAACTGAAAAAATGTCCCAATAAAAAAAAATGAAAAAAAATTTCCCAATAAAGAGATGCTGTTTTGTAATGACAAAGTAAACACGTGATTTTTATTCTAATAATGACGACAGTGGCGGCTAGCCCTAGACACTCTCCAAAAAACGAAAATAAATGAAATAGAAGATTGAATTAGTGCGCATGTTAAGAGGAACAAATTATATGGTTTACATTTTTTATGTACATAGATATGTCTGTGTAATTAAAAGTATTTCGGAGATTAATTTCATAGAAAAGTTGTCAATTCGCATCAAAAAATAACTCTTGTGCAAACTATACACTGCAAATAAAAATGGTTTTAAAGCACCTTTATACACGCTTTCTGTAACGACTTAAGCGCACTTTAACTGTTATTAAAACTGTTTAAGAACACTTTTTACTGTCAAAATACAATATTAATTTTACAAGTACACAAAAATTGCTCTTAAACAAAATTTTTGAAATAAATCGTTTAAATTTTGTATATAAGAATTTATAATTGTAATGTAAAATAATAGGTATTTATAGTGTACATCAGTTTAAATTACGTTTGCAAATTTGGAAAACTAGAAAATTATGTTGTGAATGTTCCATTTATCACTTTTGAATGTTAATATGTAAATTAAACTTATTATTACGTTTTTAATGTACAAAATTCTAAAAATAATAAAACTTAAATTTCAGGGTTCGTCGTACACATTGTTAAGAGTAAATATAAAATAGTATACAATACGTTTATTTATCTCTTACGAAACTGTAATAAAAGTGATTCGTACGTAGAAATAAATAATATACAACTTAAATACAATAAAATTGTAAATCTAATCTGATTTATAGGAAATACGATGCCATATTTTTAAAGTCTACAATTCTAAAATATAGAGTAAACTGCATTGCAACATGTTCTGTTACAAAAATTATGTTTGGAATTACATTCTGGAAAATGACGATTTAAAAATTTTAATTTGTTTCACAAAAATATATACAGATTGTATATGAAACTTATAAACAAAATATAAAATGATACAAAAAATTTATCCCTGTTTTGTAAATTCTTGAAAATATTTTAAAGCTTTTTGATTGAGCTTATATCAATAATAATCACGTTTCAGAAATTATTACCATAGTTTTTCTATATTGTATTCGATAATCTACATCCANGGAGTAGAATTATAATGGCTGTGAATTTAGTTATGAACAGAAAGATCAGTTGAAACAATACACGTTTGCAAGGCATCAGAAAGAACTTTTATCCAACATAAATGTTACGAGAAGTTTCTATATTTTCATTGTTAGTACGTGAAAACACATGCGTAGAAATGGGCGTAAAATGGAGTATAATACAGAAAGCGTAAAAATTTTTATAAAATTTTGGCTGTACAATAACTTAGAAAAGAGTGGCGCATTGTCCCTACTTTTTACCTGCGTAAAATTCCCTAATAAAGAAATTTCTTTTTTGTGACGTCAAAGTAAACAAGTGGTAAACAAAATTATATATACATTGTATATGAAGCTTATAAACAAAATATAAAATGATACAAAAAATTTATCTCCGTTTTGTAAATTCTTCAAAATATTTTAAAGCTTTTTGATTGAGCTTATATCAATAATAATCACGTTTCAGAAATTATTACCATAGTTTTTCTATATTGTATTCGATAATCTACATTCAATAGATAATACAACCTAATAAACAATGATATAATATATTATAACTTATAATTGATTTNTCATCTTCTAATATATGTCTCTTATCATCATGTGGTGATAATGCTAACTTGTTTACCTTCATAGAATAAATTTCATGCTTTTTGTTTCTAATCAGATTGACTGTTCTATATTGCTCCCTTTTATTAAATAAACAGTCTTTATAATCCTCAAATGATATTCTGTACTTAACAACACATTTATTAACACCTTTGGCTTTCTTTTCTCATTTATTCTTAACTTTGAAGGCATACATTTTTGCTTTTAATCCAACAAATTCGGCCATTATATTTACATTATTATTATCTTTCATTTTTCCTAAAACTTTCTTGTTTACTCTAGGATATTATTGATATTTCCATATTGATTATTCTCAGGGTAATCAGATGTGTCAAAGTAATCTATCATTCCCTTCGTGTCTTGATAGACATCATCTATCTTTATATCATATATATAACTGTCTGTATCTTTATATCCAGTCTTTGAGTCATCAGGTATCTGTGTTACATCTATATTTTTATTAGACCATCTAAATTCCCCATAAGGTAAATATTAACTCACGGCCCATCCATATAAGATATTTGCATCTAGATACATCAAATAATTAGATTCCTTGCTTTTATTATAATCTTTCATATACTTGTTATTTGCCTCTCCATATTTGTTACAGATTGGGATATACCACTCCTTATTTGTTTTTCTAACATCAAAATCATATCATAATCATACAGTAAATCTTATCTTACACCTGTCATCTTCAGCAGTGCATCCCAAGCAATACATGGAGATGTATAGTACCAACAGGATGTAGTTTATAGGTTTTCATGCATACATCTCTAAAATTCTCAAAGATGTCACGTAGTATCAAAACATGTGATTTTACATATAGATCTGAATATTCTCCCATATTTCTAATCTTAAATGCTTCCCATACGTTTTGTGCATGTTCTAAATTTTTATCTGGTATATCAAATTCATTGAATTTACTATAGAACTCTTGTTTTGGAGGAAGTTTATTCATTTCACATTCCCCCTTCAGATCCATATAGTGATAAGGATATACACCTTTTCTTATTACTAAATCTAATAGGTGTTTAGGAGAAAACTTGGCTGTTTCTCTTAACTGTTTTTTTTTCAAATTACTGAAGAGTTTATTTAAACTACTTGTCATAAATCTAAATGAATTTAATAATTTAAATTTCATATTTCCAATTTTCTTACTAAATGATATATATCTCTCCTCATTGTTTGGTATTAAATCAATTTATTCTAAGCGAAAACACCAAAATGTATTCAAATCTTCTTCTGGATAAGTGCAAAATATACTTGGATAATTTCAAAGAAAGTTCCGCATTTATTCATTACAAATTAAGTAAATACACTGCTTTGATATTGATGTTTCCCTATGTGATTATGCTTACAGTTATCACAATAATGTTCGGATCTGTTGTAAATGAAGAGAATGTTTATAAAATTATATTCCATTTCATTGTAACGCAGTGAAAAATACTGTACGGAGTCGGGTTGTTAACTATACACCATCTTAACGTTTTAAATATAGGCATCACACTACATGAAAACATGTCCTCGTTTTGCGAAAAGATGGAAGATGCCATGGACGATAGAAAACCATTAGATTTTCAATTTGTAATTCAGAAACATGCTCAGTATTGTGACATTTTGCTAGACATAGACAAAGTATTTAGTCCAATGATTTCAGCATATTATCTGTTTCAGTAAACAATTACTTTATTAATTTTCTACAGTATATTGGTATATACGGTGAAGGATTGAAGATTGTAAAATATGCATTCGTATATGGTGGAATCGTTACAAACGTTGTCTTTTCTTTTTCAACTCTTCTGGCAACAGAGATACCAAAATCCGCTAGTAAGTTTCTATTCTTTTTAACATACATCTATAATTTTAATGTGTTATTTTGTTTGTGAATCTTAATGATTACTTTTCTGTTTCTTCCTTATCCACGTGTATGATAGAAGCAAACAATTATAACCGAAGTAAATACGACACTGGAAGATCCGTATGTACTGGATTACCGAAGTAAATACAACGTAAAAGATTTACAGGCGCTGCTGCGGTGTTTTGGGTCTTGCGAGAAATCGAACATACTTTTAGACCCATCTATAAATTTTCTAATTAGTCTAAAACAGGGAGTCCCAATTCTTGCATTCTGTGAAAACGGATAAGGTTGACTATAACGTAATAATCTTAATTTTCGCTATCGTTACTTTTGGCCGAGCAACGCCGGACCTACCTGCTAGTAGGGTTTCTGAAACGGGATTCCGGGATCCCGGGATCCCGGTTGTTTTTTTAACCCGGGAAATATCCCGGGAAATTTTTCTTATCCCAGGAAATCCCGCAAATTTCTTAAAAATTCACTTTTTTTCTTATTTTGTGTTAAGGTTGAGGAGTTTTGCAAATAGAAAGCATAATTAACTCATTCACTGCCAGAATACATTTGTATTTATTAATTTTAAACCTACCTATTAGTTTTTTTAAATTTTTGCTCGTTATAGCATGTCACAAATGGTCAATAATCAATATATAGCTTATTTGTGGCATGACTATAAAAATTCTTTACTTGTCGGAACCTGTAATATCTGGAATAATTGTGCTTACGCTGTCTTGAGTTTTAACCATGCCCAGTAGCTTCAATAAATGCCTGACGCCAGATTGTGCAAATTGGGC